AAGGCAACAGTGGAAAGAAAAACTCCCTCATGAGGAAGAAACCTTTAGCAGAACTAGGCTCATGGATGTTGTGGACAATGACCCACCTGCTATCTGTGTCTCTGTGGGTGTCGGCTATGTAAACCCACCTACTTCCTGTGCCTATGAGATGGTCCTGGAAGACACCACTCACTCTTCCTCCTAGCCTCCTATTGTTCCAGAATTTCCTGTTGTTCCTGAAACCCCTGTGGTTCCCAAGTCTCTTGTGGTTCCCAAGTCTCCTGTGGTTCCAGAATTTCTTGTGGTTCCAGGATCTCCAGTGGTTCCCAAGTTTCCAGTGGTTCCTGAGTCTCCAGTGGTTCCCTAGTTTCCAGTGGTTCCAGAGTCTCCTATGGTTCCCAAGTCTCCTGTGGGTCCTGAGTTTTCTGTGGGTGCTGAGTCTCCTGTGGTTCCTGAGTCTCCTGTGGGCCCCGAGTCTCCTGAGGGTCCCATGCCCACTGCAGTCTCTGTGGTAGCTACGCCCTCTGCAACCCCTGCGGTAGCTATGCCTGCTGCAGCCCCTCTGGTCTCTGCACCAGCTGCAGACTCACCAATCTCATAACCTGCTACAGATTTGCCGGTCTCCTCACCTGCTACAGATTCATCAGTCTCCTCACCTGCTGCAGATATGTTGGTCTCCTCACCTGCTGCAGATCCCCTGGTTTCTTCGCCTGTTGCAGATCCCCTGGTCTCTTTGCCTGCTGCAGATCCCCTGGTCTCTTCGCCTGCTGCAGATCCCCTGGTCTCTTTGCCTGCTGCTGATCCCCTGGTTTCTTTGCCTGCTGCAGATCCCCTGGTCTCTTTGCCGGCTGCAGATCCCCTGGTCTCTTTGCCGGCTTCAGATCCCCTGGTCCGTGCCCAAGACTGATAACTTCTGCCCATGGATATCTGGACTTTGACTTCTGCTCTGCCTTCTGACCACCGATTCTCGCTAACTCCCTCTGATGAGTATTGCCGTTTATTCCTCTCTGTGAATGACCCATGTATGTTTATTAATCACAATCTCAGACTCTGAACTCTAGGAGTTGTGAGTTCTCAAAAACAAGCTCCACAACCTGAAGAAGAGTGTTTGCCGGACCCTCCAGGTTACACTCACATATAAAAATATCTGGCTGTACCTCCATCCCTCCTAACCTCCCTTCCCTCTGACATCATTGCAGCTTCTGCATCTCCATCCATGATCAAATTCTGCAAAATTTCAGCTGATGTCCTCCCTCAGGAGTTCACCTCCAGACAAATATTCAATAAATATTTTTGTTCACTTCTGTATGGTTGAATTTCTGGGTCCCCCTCGCAATTCATTACAATATGAGGATGATACCCGGGTATAAAGCCAAGCTAAGGACACATACAGCACACTGGGTCGAGAACAACACCAAGCTGACCACAGAGGATGTTAATGACAACAAGATGCCTTATTGGACTGTTGGGTGCACATAGAAAGAGATGGCAGTCTCATTGCTTTGTAATGACAAAGTTTGTTTCAGTCAGAGTCAAACAGAAAGTTCTGATCTGTGTGAGTTGGTTTCCTGTAACCCTCAATGTTGATGCTTCCATCTCTTTCAATGTGTACCAAACAGCCTTTATGGTTTCCTCATCCTGTTTGCCATCAAATCCCTTGTTCTTTGTCGTTTGCTGATCTGTGGGGTTGGTTTACTTTTGTTTCCTACCTCGTTAGTGCCTTTTTTTTGACTGAAAAATCATTCCACGGATCTTAAATCTTGACAACAGCAACTTTGTCTTAGTATTGAGTTTGCTCACTGAGTAATAACTGAGCCAATGTCAACTCTTAATGGTTAAGTCCAGGTTTTCCATGTGGCTGTTTAATTGTTTTGTAAAAATGTGTTAATATCTCCAAACAATTACAGTACTATTTTCTGTACATGTGATAGTCTTGTAAAAGAGTTTTACCCAACATGGGTTAAACGATGGCCCAGATGCTATCAATGCATTAAGGATATGGACAAAATGACTGCACACTAAATTATCACAAAAAGTCAGACAGTTCAGCTGAACAACTTCTGTGAAACACAAAGGTGGTTTTTACTGTACAACAAATGAATGGGCTCACTGAGAGTGTGCCACCTCTCTTTAGCTTTACATATTCTCAGTGTTTTCTTCACAAAAAAAACTAACTACATACCATGAAAACATGGCTGTCAGGTTCAGCAGGTGATATTTTCACTCATTTAGTCTTAGGAAGCAGAAGATCACTGTTGGTCTCACTGTTAAAACTAGACATGATCATCCATCACAAAGACATCAGGCACAGAAGTGACAGTAAGAAAGAAAAAACTGATTTCTGCCAGGGTTCCTGGTCCTAAAAGATGATGTATGGAGGCAGGAACTGATGGATCAGGGAGAAATCATATTCAGGCAGTTCACATTTTGAGCTTCATTTTATCATTTTGCATTTGTCATCATTTCTGTTGCAGGTCCAAAACTGTGGAAGAAGTAACCACTGCATGTCAGGCTGGCTCCCTCTCTCGCTGTTTTTAAGTCTTGTTTACAAACTCACTTTTATTCACTGGCTTTTGACACTGTGTCAGCTGATTTTAACTAGTCTGTTTTCTATAATGTGTAGTGGACTAGGCCTACGTCGAAACCCAGTCTAAGGTCAAAACTCTTGACCTTAAGAACCTTGTGGGACAGGAACTGTCATTTCATGTATTTGAATACATAGATACAGGTTCACCCATCCCGAGACTTTCTTTCTTGAAGATTCAAGTGAAAAGAACACTCTCTTTTTATTATCATTACTATCTTACAAATGTTGATAATCAAAGTGTCTTAGTTCAAACCATTTTAGATGTTGCAGTGAACTAATCAATTTTATTAACTGAGTAATGATTTTTATTCTCATGTCAAAAGCTGTTGCAGAGTAATTATGCATTTTTCTGATTTCTGCTTTTGAATGAGCAAGTGTGTGCGTTTACAAGGTTACAGTCAAACGAAAAACAAGTTGTTATGTTAAAACTGTCATGTTTTAGAATCCTCTCAGACGTAAATAGAGATGTTTTGCACCTGTTTCTTA